TAAAATTAGTTTAAGAACTTATTTAAAAATAGCAATAATTTATATACATATATGTTGTATAATAATTGATATGTGACTGTATTTTACAAAATACTAGTCTTTTAAAACACAGCCAAGGCAAGTTTTATGTTATTTGATATGGTAACAAGAGTGCACGTGAGCTGCGTCATTGTAACTTCTGTATTGTTAGCCAGGCATGGCTGAAAGGTTAATGTTATGAGATTTAAGTTTAGTCAACATTTATTTTTTGTGTTCACTTTAGAATGAAAGAGGCATGATTTATATTTATTTCCTAATTTTTTATGGTGGTTGCGAGATTGGTCAAATCTACTGAATGCGTACAGAGATTACTGAAAATAACAGATACAGTATAGTTTTTTCTTAAGAATAGTTCCATAACTATCTCGACGTTATGAAGATTTCACATGTAAAGTTTCTGGTGCATAAAAGTATTTTTAATATTAAAATGAATATTACTTTGCATGAAAGATATGCAACATGCGGAGAGAAACATTGCTTTACAAACCTTAAGACTTAATCAAACAAAATTTGATATTTTGCATATGAAAGCATTTTAATGTTTACTGATAATATAACAAATTTCATTAACATTTGGTTACTAATTTGAAAACTATAACAAGCACAAAATGGTTGAGGTCAGTCCCAGGGACCGAGCCTGTAGTGAAAGAGACAACACAAGTGGGCATTCTTGAAAAAAAAAAAGCCATCAACTATTCATGACTGTTAGATGTGTGTCTAGCAATAGTTTTTATTTTTATCAATTTACATAAGTGATACTAACCTTTTTGCAGTATATTATTTTGAAGATAATGGAGGATTAGTGCAAATATGTGTATCTTTAAAAATATTAATATTTCTGAGATAATTAAAATATCTTGTAGGGAATATTAATTGTTTTTAAGTTTGTAAAGAATATAATAATACATAACTGGCAGCTACATTGATGAGTGACAACTATTTACTACTGTTATTCCTCTTCAAGTCCTAATTGATCTATCTTCCCACCCAAGGATCTTCTCTGTTTTTTCTCATTGTAAACTTTATCCTACGTTCCATATCTTCATTGTAAATTGCTTTACAGATTTCGAAATTTACTCTACGCCTTTTTTGAAAAGGTTTTTCATAATAACGATTTCGTCTGTACTCTTCAAAGACACCTTCTTGTCCAAGAATTCTGTAAAAAAAAAACAAATTTGTATTATGGCAAATTTCAGAAAATTTAATGCAGTTGTATATTAAGCATTTTCTTTTAAAAAACGAGTAAAAGGCTGACTACAGTACGAATTTCAAACTGGAAAGAAGATTTGAATGTAAACTGAAAAACCAAAAGGAAATTAAACTATTACAAATAACTTGTTTATCCAAAACACACAACTGTTAGTTGTATCATCTACCCACTTCTGGTCATGATGTTGATAATTGTATGTACAATATGTTGAGCATAGAGGTTCATAAAGTAAGTTAATAAAGAGAGGAAGAATTTTGTCTGTTTTTTTTTTACACTATACAAGTGCCTTGCATTATATGGATAATATTCAAAGCTGAGATTCATGTAAATCCAATCAGAAAATAGGGAGATGTTTGATGGAATATTATGGATATTTTAAACCTAGAAGATTTGGTCAGATGGACAAACATGTCATTAGTCTAAAACATGCATACTTATTCTCCACGTTATATTAATCAAAAAATTAATGTTTTTCTAAGTCTACTCTAAAAAATTGCCAATACATTAGTTATGCAGATGAGGCAAGGAAACTAATGATAACTTGTTGAATTTGCCAGCAGCTAACAACGTGCCAGGTCCATTTAATTCTTCTTTTTCTTAATCTAACAAGTCATGTAAATGGTCAAAACCATTACCGATATCGACGTGGCACATTGGAGAATATAAGTTACGGTTCACTAATACTTACCACGTATAACTAAGAATTCCAGATGTACTGTTTAAAAAAGAAAACATTCAGCACTACAGTAGCTTAATGACACCCATCTTCGTATAAGTCATATTTTCAGACAAGGAAATTATGTGATTATAGGTTATCTCTGTGGGCTGCATTATGTTTCATAATTAATCATGGGTTATCTTTGTGAATAAAGAATTTATGTTTGTAAAAGTTTTTACTTTATGAACCATTGTGCAGTTTATACTATATCTTCTTTAACACCAAGTGCTGGGAAATTGACAGAATTATTAATGTTGAACTATAGCTGGTAATTTAGGGAGGGGGTGTATAGGTTATTACAAGATAACTGATTTGATCTACATTCTGAAAATAAACACCCTAATATAAACATTGTCTTAAAGCAGTGTCAGTTCTTCTAGTAAAACTTTCTTATATTTGAGAGCTTCATCATGTAGTTTTGATTATATTTTAAACTTGTTGTTACAGAAGTTAAAAATGTACTTAATTCAGCATATTCTTTATCACAAACTCCTCCAGTTACCACATGTTAAACTACCAAGTAATAATGAAGCTACAACACAACACCTACATACATTATACATTTATTTCATTCCACACAAAGGACAAAGGCACTTCTCTAAAAGAGTCTCCACTACTTAATTATTATTTTTCAAACTACATACATTTCTCTAAATATATATGCATTATCTACATGCAAAATACCAAGTTAAAACCTGCTTCAACAATCTTTGGTATCCAAGTGTTTCATCCTTACACACTAAAATTTGTGTATTTAAACCAGTTTATAAACTCAGCCATCTTTTCTTCACACATTAACTATCAGGGAAACATCTTTAACGTGACTTTTTTTACCATGTTAAATATGAATTTGTGAAAGACAGAGAAACAGCAGTCAACTTTCACAGTAATCATCATTTCAGTAATATACTTTTTAATTATGCATTTTTTATAAATATATTTGGTTTACTTTATTTCAAAGAGTAGTTAGGTAAGCCTAAGGTCTTATAATATATACAACCTGTTCAATTTATATATTGAAAAAAGTCAATTAAAAACTCATTCGTTCTTGATGGATGTGTTAAATATCTAACGGTTTACCTGTTAAGGTTATCAATAAAAAAAACTACCCTTAAATACCCCCTTGTGTTGTAGTGATCATATGTATGTCTAACTAAAGTATCTGGAACTTGATTTAAAAAAAACATGTATTTCTTAACTACAACTATATACTAATATCAAAAGTTAACTATGATTTAAATTACGTGCTTAAAAAGCCATACTTTAATATATTCAGTCACTTGTTTATTCTAAACCACCAATACTGAGAATTAATTTATTTATATGTGCGTAAATATTTTTATTACTCAAATGTTTTCATTCATGTATCTGACAGAGTAATCAACTTTTCTTAACATAAATTTCCTTACCTCATTAGAAACAGTAGCTTCCAATGAATCATTGTTCTGAAGCAGTTTTGTCAAATAAACCTATGTGTATGTACTTGTAGTAAAAATGTATCGGCAATAAAGTTTTCATAAATATCACAATTATCTTAAGCTAAAAATTAAAATACAAAATTTGTTACATTCTAGCAGCACATCCTATTTATTTGTTTTTAAGACATTTAAATGTAATTCTCAGAGACAGTAGAAACAGCCTAATCTAGTTTGTTTTTTTAAACCTTGAAAGCATAATGTCATGCAACAGCCAGCATGATAGAAAAGGCTGTGCTTCGAAATCTAAAGAATTGTAAAATAAACAGAGTCTATCACAGTAACATACAATTTAAAAAATAAATGACCAGATATATTATTTGTAGAACATAAATTTAAAAGTCTTGGTTCTGTGAAGACTTCTTATTTTGAAGTGTAAGTATCATAAATACATATCCACAGTCTTAATGAAATCAACACACATTTAAAAAAAAGGTTGATATATCAATAAAGTTGAAACATACCTTTCTCTTCATTTTAGCACATTCTACCTTAACAATGGAACATCCAAGAAAGTGTATAGTTATGTGTTTATAGTGTTTGATAATTCCACAACTACACTGAACAATTAAGCTTCAAATAAACTAAAGTGATAAATATCTTGGCTCCCTGTATTATATTTAATTTGGTTGGTTCAATAAAAAAAACATCCATCTAGCATTCCAGGACTCAAAAAAAAAAAAACTACGAATGACAACAGCTAAGCTGTTTTTGTATTAAATAGTCTACTGTTTCTATCTAATTGACATATGCTTATTATTTGTTTCCTCACTCTATACCTGACTTCTTGTTATTATGTTGTGTGTATTGTTACTCTTGTAAGTGGTTGTTACCCGACTTCCTGTATTATGTTATTTGTATTGTTACTCTTGTAAGTGGTTGTTACCCAACTTCCTGTATTATGTTATTTGTATTGTTACTCTTGTAAGTGGTTGTTACCCAACTTCCTGTATTATGTTGTGTGTATTGTTACTCTTGTAAGTGGTTGTACCCGACTTCTTGTATTATGTTATTCGTATTATTACTCTTGTAAGTGGTTGTACCCGACTTCTTGTATTATGTTATTTGTATTATTACTCTTGTATTATGTTATTTGTATTTTTACTCTTGTATGTGGTTGTTACCCAACTTCTTGTATTATGTTATTTGTATTGTTACTCTCGTATGTGGTTGTTACCCGACTTCTTGTATTATGTTATTTGTATTTTTACTCTTGTATGTGGTTGTTACCTGACTTCTTGTATTATGTTATTTGTATTGTTACTCTTGTAAGTGGATGTTACCTGAATTCTTGTATTATGTTATTTGTATTTTTACTCTTGTATGTGGTTGTGTTATTGCTAATTTTACATATTGCAATGATTGGTACTTGTTTTTGTTACTATATGTAAACTCCTGCAAGCACTTCTGGACACTACAGTACATCAACTTTTGTTTTGTCCTATCACAATTGTTATTTTCATTATAAAAGCACTTTCAGTACAACTAATAAATTATGCTTTAATTAAGTAACTTACTGTAGGAGAAAGAAAACCAGAACCAATATTTACATAAATACAATGAACTACTACTATTTACAAGAGTTCTATTTTTTTAATCATAATATATTTCAGTGATGTCCAAACTTGAATACTTCATCTCCCATTAGCAAAATTGTAAGTTTTAAACTTTCCCTATAAACCACCTTTTTCTTGAATTTGTCACTGTAAAACCTTCAATTAAAAACTTCAATCCTTGTGTATGTATGTATGTGTATATATATATATATATATATATATATTGGGGCCAGTTATAACTGAAGAACTATGAAAATCTGGTATTAAGACTTTTCTGATGGTCTCACTGATAAAAAAAAAGTTTGTGACATTTATGAGATGAAGAGCGTAATTAGTATAGGCAGTATATTACCTTTCACATAAATAATGCAGGGAATACCACCATTATACGATGCAAGACACAATACATCAAGCTTACTTTGCCAATTTGTTACCATTTGAGATGAAATGAAATGCTGAACACTACTTAAAAAATTACAGTTAAATCAGTCTGAAATACAAGTTTAATCAGTTTTGTGGGTAAAACAAAATGTTGCAGAAAAGATCACCTAACTATTGTGTTATAATGTAAATCATTTTCAGCTATAAGCAGAATCTCTGGCCAAGTGCCAATATTCCATTCAGGATAGTGAGTAACAAAGTTATTACTACCATAATGCAGCAACTGGAACACTTTTAAGGTGACAAAAAGACTGTAGCCTAACAAGTACAGCTCCACCTGGAAAGAAAATGTCAGGTTTATATGTTTTTATATTTATAAAGAAAAATCTTACATGATTTCTTACAAAAAAACAACAACATTAATTTGTCATTAATTTAAATAGATTTAAGTAGTATCAACAATTATTATTAATTAGGTTTAAAAAATATTCAATGACTTAAATAATGTAGTTAATTACTTTAAATACCAATACACTATCAGAAAAATGTGGGCCATTTAACCAGTCTTAAGACCTAAAGGCCAACAAACCCCAACAATTATTGTGACAATAATGATAAGCACATTATATTTGTGCCTTGATATCACTGAAGAGCAAAATTAACTTATAGGCTTACATTCTGTGTACAATATATGTCTACTCAGTAAACAGGGGGAGAAAATGTTAATGGGTAAAAATAATGTGTCAGTAAAAGTTTGATTCAGAATTTTTATTAATGTTTTTTATACTCAATACTATAGGTAAGAGAATGCATGATTGAAGATATTTACTACACATGACCTAACCTTAATACATACTTCTTAATCATGCAGAACTTTAGACTAGTTGTTGTAAATAATACCTTAAACAGAGAAACACATTATGTATACATGCATATTACTTTAAACAGAGAAACACACGTATATTTACTTTAAACAGAGAAACACACGTATATTACTTTAAACAGAGAAACACACGTATATTACTTTAAACAGAGAAACACATGTATATTACTTTAAACAGAGAAACACATGTATATTACTTTAAACAGAGAAACACCCGTATATTACTTTAAACAGAGAAACACATGTATATTACTTTAAACAGAGAAACACCCGTATACATGCATATTACTTTAAACAGAGAAACACACGTATACATGCATATTACTTTAAACAGAGATACACATTATGTATACATGCATATTACCTTAAACAGAGATACATATGTATATTACTTTAAACAGAGAAACACACGTATACACGCATATTACTTTAAACAGAGAAACACATTATGTATACATCCATATTACCTTAAACAGAGATACATATGTATATTACTTTAAACAGAGAAACACATTATGTATACATGCATATTACTTTAAACAGAGATACATGTGTATTACTTTAAACAGAGAAACACATGTATACATGCATATTACTTTAAACAGAGATACATGTGTATTACTTTAAACAGAGAAACACATGTATACATGCATATTACTTTAAACAGATACACATTATGTATCAATTTCAACATGCAGAGACTAGGATTTTGAAAAGGGATCTAATGGAAAAATTGAGCTGTTTCTTCAACAAAATAAACTAAAAATGAAAAGTCCTTTTTGTATTTACATCAATACGAGATTATGTAAACCAAAAATCTTGGGTTACTTCCAGGTGCAATACCAAACATACTTGAAGCTTACAACAGAACTGGAGGTCCAAGAGTTGGCATCATTATGTTTTTGTATGATGAAAGAAATTATAACTTGTTAAAAAGGAACAAATAAAGTTCTAGCAAAATATCCACAAAAATTATCTTGTTGTAATAATGATAAAAAATCACATATTACTATATTTCTTAAATACTAAGCTTGTATATCTAAATCACATTATACTCACACTGCTACAATTGAAACAAAAACAGTTCGTAGCCATATGTGGACTTGTCAAAAACATGTAGACAATAGAAAATCAATTAAGTGAGACAAATCTACAATGAAATATTTCAAATAGACAACAGAAACTTAAATAAACCAGTTTTATAATAATTTAGACAATCAAACTGTACATTATCAACTCTACCTCTTTTATATGTTTAGTTTCCTTAAGGACATTTAAATGGTTTAACATCAGGTCCTTCGGAGTTCTCGAGGTTGCCCTAGCAAACAGTAACCAAATGAATACTGGAAGGTTTTCCTGGGACTGGTATCTGGGGTACAGTTCTATAGCCGAAACCAACATCAGAAGTTTCACAGCTTCCATTAAGTGGGTATCTAGAGTAGGATTGTTGTTTAGTTTGGCTACCAGGAAATCCTCCACATCAGCAGTGGTGCTGGCTACTTCCTTCTCCTGGAAAAATATAAGAAAGGAACTACCTCTCAGACTTATTATACAATCTAAATATAAGCAAGGAACCACCTTCAGACTTACAATACAATCTAAATATAAGCAAGGAACCACTTCTTAGACTTACAATACATTCTAAAAATAAGCAAAAACCACCTCTCAGACTTACGATACAGTCTAAATATAAGCAAGGAACCACCTCTCAGACTTACGATACAGTCTAAACATAAGCAAGGAACCACCTCTCAGACTTACGATACAGTCTAAACATAAACAAGGAACCACCTCTCAGACTTATGATACAGTCTAGATATAAATAAGGAACCACCTCTCAGACTTATGATACAGTCTAGATATAAATAAGGAACCACCTCTCAGACTTACGATTCAGTCTTGATATAAATAAGGAACCACCTCTCAAACTTACGATACAGTCTAGATATAAATAAGGAACCACCTCTCAGACTTATGATACAGTCTAAAAATAAGCAAAAACCACCTCTCAGACTTACGATACAGTCTAAACATAAACAAGGAACCACCTCTCAGACTTATGATACAGTCTAGATATAAATAAGGAACCACCTTTCAGACTTGTGATATAGTCTAAATATAAACAAGAAACCACCTCTCAGACTTGTGATACAGTCTGGTTATAAATAAGGAACTACCTCTCAGACTTGTGATACAGTCTAAATATAAACAAGAAACTACCTCTCAGACTTGATACAGTCTAAATATAAACAAGAAACTACCTCTCAGACTTGTGATACAGTCTAAATATAAACAAGGAACCACCTCTCAGACTTACAATACAGTCTAAATATAAACAATGAACTACCCCTCAGACTTACAATACAGTCTGTTTTATTATTTTAAATCAAAAAACGACAATACACTTTCTGTTGTTTTTTTCACAAATAAGGAAACTCCTTTTTTACTGGTTCTATAATTGTGAGTACTGCCAAGTAGATTGAACAAAAATATTACATGTATTATCTGTAGGTAATAATTAAGTACATAAAAGAACATTACATATTTTTTTTTTTTTATAGAAAAAGGTAATTTTGCTGTATAAGCAGTAAACGTTACTAGAGAAAATATATCTTCCACCAACCACAAGTAACTCTAGATTCTGAACTACACAATTTAAAATCACTGAATAAACTGTGTAATATATAGTTACAAAAAAAAACAACAGTTGTATAACAACTGGGAAACTCAAACAAAACAACTCAAGGGCTATCTTCACTAGACATCCCAATTCTGTACTGACAGACTAGATGGAAGGCAAGCTAGTCAACAACACCCACAAAACCTCTAGCACAGTTTAGCATGTTAACCACTGGGCTACATCTGGACTTGTAAAAATTAAATCTACAACAATGTAAACACTAGTTTTATTTAAGTAGATGGTTTCTGATAGTTGAAAAATGTTATAAATAATCTGTACAAAAAGTAGATAACTATGTTTACATAGATACATAGGTTAGTATGTAGGAAGGTTCAAACTGTGTATACCACTAACAGGTAGATTAATGGACATTGTGTATACCACTAATAGGTTGACTAACAGATGATATGTATACCACTAATAGGTAGATTAACGGACATTGTGTATGCCACTAACAGGTTGATTAACAGATGATGTGTATACCACTAATAGGTAGATTAACAGACAATATGTATACCACAAATAAGTTGATTAACAGATGATGTGTATACCCCTATGTAATCTCTTGTTCTCATATAGATGTACCATAGTCTAGGTATTTATTGATTTCCCTGACAACGTTATAGCGATTTTCTGAGGCACATTCATCTAAACACCAGACTCCAGTGGGGCTCATTCCGTGTTTTGTAATTCTACAATACATGACCAGTCTGTCCAATATAAAATGCCGGACAGTTGTTGTAAGGGGTCTTATAAAGTTTGCTGAGTTTTTTGTTTAATTGGCATGGGATCCTCAGCATCAGCTAGAATTTTCTTAGTGTACTGTTGGTCTAAAAGTCACTCGTACATACTAAACTAAAAATAATAAAAATATTCACAACACATGAAGCTGAATCATTTCTGTAGTCGTTCATCCGGGATCAGTTGATTCCACTACAAACTATGGTGTATAGTCATTTTTAAGTAAATCCTGATTGAGATTCTGGTATTATTATAAAAAGAAAACAAATTATAGGCATCTTAAGGTTCAAATTAAACCCTTTTTAATTGAAATACCATCTTCAATCTGGATTATAAAATGAAGTAAAGGAAGCTATTCAAATACTTTCATTCTTTTGTCGTTTGAGATTTTTAGTTATTGAGATGTAAGGTTAACATTCTTTATTATGGCAAACACATCATCAATGTACCTTTTCCAAACCCAAGGAGATCTAGATAACATCTTAAGGGATTTCATTAAAATTTTTCCAGTTTAATATAGATATTTTCATTTATTCATTTGAAGAGAACAATATCATATAAATTATATATAATGTTGTAATGGACAATAGCACTGGTAAAAATGGTACACCGTGACATTAAAATGTGACACCAAAATGTTGCTTCTTCCATATTATGTACTCGGGAGCCATAGTACCACCATGGAAACAATACTGCCATGATTCATTGCACAATTTGAAAAAGAAAGGCATTTAATCAAAGAAATTCTGGCAATGCAACAATCTTATTTAAAACTGTCTGATCAACATCTGGACCTTTCTGCTGATGTTAGGTGGGAAGGTTTGTAAAATGTTGAAATACTGTTTTTTTATTGAAATAACTAAACTGAAGGATAATTTTGAGTGATTTTTTTTGTGACACAATGCTTATTGCATTTTCTCCTTTTTTAATTTATTCATAACCCAGTTGTTAGATGTACACAACTGTTTCATAAAATTAATATGAGAGTTATGATTTACATAGTTATATAGCATGAGTGTTAAATTTAGTATTTTTAGAAGCAATAATTTATCAAAGGTTTACTTATGCAGCTGTTTACAAACCATTTGTTGCACAGTTCAAATGTTGTGAATTGATGTCATGTTACTTAATGCTTCTGAATTTTTCTCCTTGCTTTATGTGAGTATTGTTACATCATAATGACTTAGTTTGTAGAAAGTTCTAAGCCTCAGTCAGGCAATATGTACATATACACAGGTAACCAAATTACTACAAGGAAGAAAGTTAGTGAAAGTAAATGTGAAATTAGACTGTAATTGTGAGTTTATCCATAAAGAGCATACAGTGGCAATTTCTAAAGTGAGTTTCACAATTTATATTGTAATAACACAGTAGAGGAGAATAATTTCTCTTGTCAGAGGGTGTTCTAAAGTAATTGAACCTGCCTGTGTAGACCTTGACAAAAAAAAAAGAGAGACAATTATTTAAAGTTCGTGATACCACTGTGATAACTGATAGCATAACAAACACTTGTACATACGTTTGACTTGTTTTGAATATATATTAGTTTAAAACAAGTGGACTGTGTGCTGTCTGTTTATTGTTGAAATTTATTGCCAACAAGTCACAGACACCTACTGTAAAGAATCCAGTGCTATAAAAACCCGACACCAATCATCCTCTCAAAGCTCAGTTCTTGTAAAGACACATACATACATACAATAAACGTTTTTAATGTCTCCAGTGTTTATTTAATAATAACAATATTTGTCAGTTGTCCATGCACTTATTGGAGACCAGAGAGTATTTGAGACTTGGCATTCATTATGCAAAATTACTAACATTTCCCAGTACTACAGGTGCAATTATGAAGAAGTCAATAACACACAATCTTACATCAACAAACAAGCAACTAATTACAACAAATCTGCATTGAAAAACTCCATTCCATCTACTAGTGTTATAATAATAGAATAACAATAACAGTAAAATCCACTATAAGTACTGGAACACAAGAATGTATATTACGGTAAAACAATAAGAAAAACTTTAAAACATGATATAAATTATTTAAAGTTACCTCGACAGTGTTTGTAGTCTTGATAATGTTTTGTAAGTGAAAACTTTATACTAATGCAGCAGCCTACATGCTGGAATTCAACTTATGATGTGGTGTAGCATTTCTTAAAACAAAAACAAGTGGCATCTTAAGCCTAAGGACACAGAAGTTAGAAGTCTGAAAAGCACGAAGAATGTTTTTGGTCCACTGTGTGACTTCACATGTGCATTAAGAGAAACAATCCAAGGTTTCTTCTATTCTTAAGTTAACATGGAAGATTTACTATTATCTACTAGCTATAGATGCAGCAACATGACCATAGAAATGAAGTACAAAAATAAATAATGATTTAATATAGAGGACAAGGATTTACAAAAGTTTCATAATCTTGTAAATTATATTTACCCACATTTCAACACAAATATTGAAGAAGGAATGTTGATTGTAATTCCAAACTTATTTTATGTACCTACAAGAAATGTGGTAAGCTTTTAGTAAAATGTACATGTCTGTACTGCACTAAAAAAAAACAAAAAACAGATGTGTTACTAAAGTATTTGTACATAAGATATGTCTGTGAATTATCTAATGTCAGGCTGACACAGTTTTTGACAAGTTGGAGTGTCAGATAATCATATGAAGAATAAAGACACTATTTTCCATACAATTTGCATATTGCATTTGCATAGCCTCTAGAACCTCTGAAATGTATATATAGTTGTTTGTTTTTTTCAGTATCACAATATAACGTACCTGGTATTTACTTTCCTCTACCATGAACTACTGATAAGTCAGCAGTATAAGCTAAAATATATAGCTGATAACTCTGACATCAAATACATAATACCATGTTGAATGGTACTCTGTAAAAGGTCACTTTGAACCCCACCTGTGTACATAGGGTTAAGGATACTATTGTTTCGAATCAAGAAGTCAAGCAAGAGCTTTTATAGTAGTTTCAAAATCACGTGTGACTCAAATCAACCTATGAAGACAGGCAAGCATAGTGAAAGTATACAGATGAGTCAGACAACAAAAGGAACAAAGGTGAAACAAACAACTGTATTATAAGGGAACACCTGCCACACATTGTACAGCCAAATGGAAGAAATAGAAACAACTGTATTATAAGGGAACATCTGCCACACACTGTATAGCCAAATAGGAAGGAATAGAAACAACTGTATTATAAGGGAACACTGCCGCACATTGTACAGCCAAATGGAAGGAATAGAAACAACTGTATTATAAGGGAACACCTGCAGCACATTGTACAGCCAAATGGAAGGAATAGAAACAACTGTATTATAAGGGAACCCCTGCAGCACATTGTACAGCCAAATGG